CACCTCTTAATCCTAGTGTCTAGGTGTGGGTCCGTAAGGATCTCGTCCATCTTGCCTATCTGAGCTTTACCCTTCCCAATCAACTTTGCTATGTGTGCGTCCCATGAGCACTCCTTCGAAATCTCTACTCCCAGGTACGTATACCTGTCTACTACCGGTAGTTCTTCCTGCCCCCATTTCCATTTGAATTCTACGGGATTTTTCTTGTCTTCGTAATAGACCACTACTGCGCATTTTCCTACGTTCGCCGACAGTCTCCATTTTCGGGTGTATCCTACTGCNGGGGGGGGGGGGGGGGGGGGGGGGGGGGGGGGGGGGGGGGGGGGGGGGGGGGGGGGGGGGGGGGGGGGGGGGGGGGGGGGGGGGGGGGGGGATGACCATCATGGTCCTGTGGATGGAACAAAAAAATACTGGAATGAAGTACTTGCGGAGGGATGGTCGCCGCCGCCGCGGTCATCTCCCGCCTGAAGTCCGGGGGATACGCCGAACAATAAATCGAAGCAAATCAGGAAACTGGCGACGACTTACCATGCACAAACACCCAAGATAAACACCCGAGATACAACCCGAAAATATTGTCAACCCCACAACGGCCATTGTTGCCAACACCACAAGGGCGTTGGTTGGAACTAGCTCTGGTTGCACGGATCATATCTCACCACTTGGAAGGAAATCCCATACACTTCCTTGTGGTGGCCATCCTGTCAAGGGGATCATGCAAAATCAAGCAGTGGGCAAAAACAAAAGGAGAACATGAGAGATGTTCATTGTAGAAAAGAATGCAACGAACGAAAACATCGGAGGAAAACACAGCAGGAGGGGATGCACAAAAGAAGATCGTGGTGTCGTTGCCGGACAAGGGGCGCAAATTCCAAGAAAAAATAACTAAACGATAAATACTACTCAGTATTACTGCAGTACAAACAACAAACTACATCGGAAACACAAAAATTGCAAGGCATCTGCAAAGAAACACGATGCAACACACAAACCCCCCTGGCTAACCTGCAAAAGCAACTCCTCCCCCGTCTCCGCGTCCCACAGTCTCCACGTGTGGTCGAAGCTCGCGGTGCCCAAGTAACGCCCGCTAGGGTGGAAACCCACCCTCGCCAGCCGCCCCGCGTGACCTTGAAAAGTCTGCACGCACTCCCCCGTGTGGCAGTCCCACAGCTTGGCCGTCCTGTTCGGTTTTTGTTTAAATTGGAATGTTAGCGTAATGTACGACGACTTCAGCCACAGGCGGTCGGGTGTGTAAGGAGGGTCCTGGCGTGTGCCTTTTGTGGCTTGCTGTGTCTTGGATATTTTCTGAAGAGTAGCCAATGGCGACCGCGGTAGAGGAAAATGGGTGTGTATGGGTGTGCAATGGCCGAAAGGAGTCGGAAGGATATTCCGTTGGTATTAAAAGCCTTCGCCTTTCTCTTTCGGGCTTGGTTTGGATTGCTACAAAAAGAAGCGACACTGGACTGACTGGAAGGCGGGAGTCAACGACGAGAATCCTCGTTGCAGCCCTGCCGCTTTGCAGCTTTCCTCTGCTCGGATGGACTCGCGAGCGAGGCAACGGGCTGCTTTCAACACGAGCTTCCCAACAACACGCAGCCAACGCAACGAACGAGGGAAAAGAAAAGCACCCATAGAAACCACAACAATCAACAATCACTTGGGAAACCCACCGATCACCGATCACCGATCATCGATCATCGGAGCAACGGCAAGAGTAGCAGCGGCGACCGACGAAACCCACACCATCGATTAGAGCAAACAACTGCACCCAACCACAAACGGAAGCATGAGAGCAACACCCCCGAGGCCGACCAACAGCGGACTCACTTGTCCGCGGCGCCGGTTGCCAACAACGTTTTGTCCGAGGAGTAGGCTTCCGGATGCCACGCGATGCCGGTCACTCTCTCGCTGTGCCCTCGCAGCACCTTGCGCATCTCCAGGTTCTGCGGCATATCGCCCAGGAGGATGCAATGAAAGAAGAGCAGGTTGGCTTCACAAAGAAAAACCGTTGTGCAAGTGCGTGAGGCGAGGTGGCGAGAACACAGCCGACGGGAAAAAAAAAAAAAACACCCCGCCACAAATCTTGTGAAAACTAGATATTCATGTGGAATCGGTGAGTATCGTCACAGGCACGGGGGGTCCGGCCTTGCCTACCTCAATGTCCCACAGCTTCACCAGGCAGGTCCAGCTTCCCGAAGCTACGGTGCCCCCATCCGGCGAGACCTAAAAAGGGGGCGATGCAGGAGCGAGATCAGCAGCGGTAGACGAAGCGGTAAAAGAAGCAGCAGCAGCAGCAGCAGCAGCTCTCAAATGCCAACATTCCAAGACTAGAATGGCAACCAGGAGCTCAGATACGCCCGACACAGAGTAACAATAATGATTGCGGTACGAGGTCACCCAACACTTGGCAGCAGTCGCGAGCTTGAGCGACGTGTCTTGCGACTCAGACAATCACAGTATGTACTACGATGATACGAGCAGGTACAACAACAGCTACAACAACATCAACAACAACAACAACAACGCCAACGCCAACGCCAACGCCAACAACAAACACCACGGCCACCGCCATCACCCGCCCAACAGTCACCACGACCAACGACTTCAACCACACACCACCAAAAAAAAACAAACGCCATCAACAACGCCAAAAAAACACAACAACAACAACAACAACAACAACAACAGCATCGCCGTCAGCACACATACCTGTATTGCCGACAGAGGTCGGTCGTCCCCGAACTGACTCGAGTTGATGGCTAGGTTCTTCATCGTCGAGAACGTTTCCACCGCGCGTCGGTCCACAGCCGACGCCTCCTCGGGAGTCCCCCGGCGCCGTTTCGCCCCCGCCAGGCGGCTCTTGGCGCGCCCGAACGACATCGTTGCGATGGCCGCTCTTGCCTGGCGCACACAAGGCGGGAGAGAGAGGGAAGACACGCCGAATAGCATCACGTGCTCTGGCTGACTGACCAAAGAACACATGTCACTCAACGCAACTGCTCGTGCGCGTGCGAGCAACTCGGGGGGATGGCGTGGATACGATCCTAAAAAAAACTTTCGCTCCGCCTTCGGCAGGGCGACCGCAGTTGGCACGCCGCCGAACGGAAAATTGCGATAGACTGTCTTTAGGTGATGCAACGAGTCCCCGCGCACAGTGCACGACGCAGAAATCAGTCGGGCGTGCATGTTGCTTTGCTTCCATATTTTTCGGATATTGGCTGCACATCGTGCTGGGCGGCAGGGACAACGACTACGATCACCCGGCGGCGCTGCGATTTAAGCCCGTTCCAAACGCCGTCGTTACGCAACCCTCGCATCTGCAACACCACGGCCGCCACAGCACCACAACCCACCATTTACAACGCCAACACGAGCGGCTTCAACCGACAAACAATACCTCTGAGCACTCCCAACGCGTGCTAACCAATCACACCATCCTACCTCCAGGAGGGCGTCCGAAGCAGGGGTGTAAACCACGTCCACTTTTTTCGCCGCCGGCGGTGCCCCCGCGGCTCCCGCCGCTCCCGCCGCCCCCGCCGCCGGCTCGCCGCCCATCTGCATCTTTCTGGGCACGAAAGAGGGCTTGGGAGCTACCATGCCCTCGATCTTCTCGGCCTCCTCGTCCTCCATCTCCGACTGGTCAAACGTACGTGTTGCATACGAGCGATGCACAACGATGGATGTGATTGGCGTCTTCGTATGCATTATCGGAGAAGATTTGGGCAGTACCATGCCAAGGCGTCTAAGGGCGGGGTGATTGAATGGTACATCCTTGTTCGTGGTGGGTACGTGCGAGAGAGGAGAAGGGGATGAATCAGAGCCGCGTTTGGATTTTCTCGTTGTCATCATTCCGCCTATGAAAAAACAAGAGTCAGAAGATCCAGACGGGGCAAGACTTGTCTTGTCTTTTGGGTTTCGATCGGTGGCATCAGCGAGCTTCGCCGCCACGCAAAGCTATTGTAGGAGGCACGAACCAAGAAGACCCGCCACTCAATTCGGCGGACTTAAGTGTGATAGAAATACCCACAACAGTTACGGCTAAAGCAAAACACACAAGACACACAACATGCCCACACGAGTCTAGATAAAAAGCAAACAAGAAAACACACACACGTGTCTGTGACCCTTGCCCCACCTCCAACACCCATTTCGTCGAGGCAGAACAAGCAAAACAGCACTCCGGGGGTACCGCAGACTTAAAAAAATCGCCACTAGTAGTCCCTCGCTGCCGCGGCGTTTCTCCCGAGGGGGCAATCAAAAGGCAAAAAGTGCGGGGATGCTGTGCACTACTAGCTAATTTACTGGCACGTGGGACACGAGACGATGGCAGGTCTTACCGCCGCTATGAATCTCCGGAGACGCTCCCGGATGTCGGCGACATTCTCCGAGAAGAGCCGAACAGGCTGCCCCAGCTGCCTGTTGTTTTGGGGTGGTAGCACGGACAAAAAGACAACGAAGCAGAAATGAGGCAAAGGAACGGGGACCGAGCAAACGGACAAAGCGGCAGCAACTGCATGCGAGAATCAAGGGCAGAGAAACAGCCGCGTCTGGTGCTGTCAAACCTGGAGCGGTCTTTGTTTGCAATGCGCGAGAGGGCACACGTAAGTACACGAATTCCGTCGGGAGCACGCGGCACGCACACCGAGGGATGGCCAAGCACGCACCTGAGCTTATTGGCGACGTCCTCGGTCTTTGTGGGCACCACCATGGTCCTCGCGCGCCGCTCCGCCTCCACCTGCTTAAGCAGCCGAGCGTGCTCCTGCTGCGCCTCCTTGCTCTCCTCCGAGAGGTCCATGATCTCCGTGTCTGATTATTTCGTGGCGTTAGGGTGCATCGCGCCAGCGCCAGCGCCAGCGCCAAGCCAAGCCAAGCAGCAAGGTGGAGAGTCCGGTCAGAAACTTCGCAAGGGACCATGCACGGGGTGGCAAAGCTTCACGATCTGTGCCAGCGATGGGAGATACACACGCTACCGTCGTTGTCCACCTGCTCAAGCTCCTTCCCGTCACAGCTACCGTAATCTCCGTTAGCGGTTGTTGGCACACGACTAATAATAAACCAAAAAGACGAGCCCAAATCGGTCGACCAAAAGCGACTTAACACTCTTCGACAGCACCATCTTTGGGAACGGGATACAACGCTCCCCGTGTGTTACACTCCTGCTGCTGCTCCAAGCTCTCTTCTCTCCGACAAATCCAGGATACTCATCCGCACGTGTATTGATATGTTCATCGAAAATGGTTCCGGTCAGCGGCCAAATTTTCCCGGAGAGCAAGGTTGAAACGAAAACAGGTTGCATGTGGATTTTCAACATCAGGAGAGCTGTGGCGTTACTACTACTCTTCTGCTTGAGATGGTCTCAACCGCAAGCACAAATCGTTTCAGGCGTGGTTTGTGTGCCTTCTCTCTCTCCTTCCCTCTGCCTCTGCTTCTCTCCTGCCGGGCCCATGGCCCACAGGCTTGTTTACTGCGAGAATCAGTATCTAGACACAAAGATGTACGTGGATTCACTGCTCCAAAGGTTAATTTACTTTCGAAGGGTAGAGGTGAATTGGTCTTGAGGGGTTGCAGAACACGAACTTTGGTGTTGACAAAAATTGTAAACAAACGCAAGAGCAGCAAAAAACGCACAATAGACACACAAGACCAGTCGGAAGGCATCGCGAAAAACAGAAATCGTTGCTTCTCGCACAGGGCGGCAGTAGGGGCTTCTCAAAACATATATTTCACGCGTCTACCTCCACACACATCTTTTGAAATCAAGAAAAAAAATCGAGCCAATCCTAGTTCAAGTCAAGAGAGCCACAACGGCAGGCGCTCGAATTAGCTCTTTGTTGCCAAGAACCTGGTAATTTAGTAATTAGTACCTACATCACTAGACGACATCCTGTAGCAACTGGGGGTGCGTGTTGGCGCCCTCAAATCTGCTTCTGTGGTAGTGATATCGAGCATCATTGCTACGGCCAACAATCTCCGCAAATCTCCACAAATTAGATCGATACCCATTGTCTTTTACTGTTTGGGATCGCCCCCACTGACCCCGATCTGCTCAACTGCAGGTTCACAGCAGTGGCTGATGCCTCTTAATAGCTACTGCTGACACCCCCGTTGAGGGGATTACGGTCCGTGGCGGTGAGCACGGCTGCGACAAATGTTGGATGCCGCTTGGTTCCGGCGCAGATTTCGGACTGTTTTCAGAGGCTGCTGCAACCTTCCATATTTCAGCTCCAGTGAAAAACCTGAACGCACGCACGACACCTCGGATGGTGTCCTCTACTGATATTTAGTACCACAAATTACCACGTTCAGGCGGTAAGGTTGTTCTCTTTCTTTCATGTTGGAATAAAGTTGAGAAAATAGCCAGCGTCAAAAACCCTATTCTGCAACCCCTTAATTTGCATGTCGACGCTTTCGCTTTCGTCAACTTCGGTCTCCCCGAGGTCTCCCACAAAACGCGAGGCGTCTCCGATTCGACGGAGCCCCTTTCAGATGGTAGTTACTGCTGTAGGTTTGCCCAGTGTTGCCTTGCCTGCAAGGTGACAAGAATGTTATGCATGTCCGCCGTCGTGGCTCCAAATGATACTCGTTCGAACAGAGAGCTCATTTTACGGCCGGCCTCTTCAATTCGTAGCCGAGCCCAGCGTAAACGCAGCTATTGGTTTGGTAGCCTGAAGTCGGACCACAGCTACTAATAAGTACACGGCTGACACTGCTGTATCATACAACCATGTTTGTGATTCATATCCTTTGGCCATTGGGCAGAAATGACCCTGCATTCAAGTTGTGCCACCGAAAAATAAAAATAGAGAAGGATGTGCAGCTGTTCCCACCCCCCAACGCAGTCGTTGCATAATGGCATCCCTTGGAGCGTGTGGTAAGCCGCGGGTAGTGCACCAAGGATACGTGTGATACACCCAAAGATCGAGCCGAGAGGGGGCTCCGTGGCATCACATGTAAACTCTCTTTGCTGCTGTTGTTGGATTTCTCTGGCTTCGCTGCACTGCTCCGTAGGATCAAAGGACAAACAGGCGCATCCCAGCCCACCCAAAACTGCTAGCAGGAATCTCACGTTCTTGTTGGTGTATGTTGATGTTGCCGGCTTTTACCGCGGCCTTGATTGCGTCTGATCCCGACGATGCACTCTTGTCGCCATTGGCAGGCGGAGGCATCTTGTCGTCTCCGTTCTTCGCCTCGGTCTCCTTTGCTTCAGCCTCCTTCGCTTTAGCACCTTCCGGTTTATCCTTCATGTCGGCATCCTCAGACATGGCTGTCACCCGATGATCGTGGAGGAGCTGAGAGGCAGTGCAATGTGTAACAGTCCAAGCAGCAAGGTGGTCTGTGCTGCGGCAGGCGGGACGGGTGGGTAGCAAGAGCTCCCACCCCAGGTACCCTAATTAGTTCAATCCGGGTTGGCGGCCCCCCTCAATCATCTCCCAAGCATCGCCGGCCCTGGCGCGTCGCAGGAAAGCGTTAATCCAGGCAACCTAGCGCTGGATGAACGTTTTCCTCCGACGCACTCATCATCTGTCAAGGCCCGTGCGTGCTCGCCTTTCGGTAGTCCCACCGGCCTTGTTTCCGTCAAAATACAGTTCTTCTCTCTCATTCACTTCCATCATATTGTTGGGTTCAACATCACCTCCTGCGGTAACAACAATGGCGGACTTCTCCGACAAAGGATCGAGTACATCATCCGCCGACTGGAGCGACGAAGAAGGGGATGAGTACTTGGCCAAGGCGCTTTCTTCCGACGAGTACCTCCAAGGTGCGTGTGGTGCGACGACTTGCTGAGCGATAACTTCTCCCCGGCCAGCTCTCGGTCCGCCTATCGAACGACACATGTTCTTATTGGGGGGGGTTCGTTTCTCCCAGCGGAGACCCAGCTTCTTCAAACAGCAAGCATGCGGCCGCGACAAGGTGCGACCCCCACGCCGTTCTCTGCGTGCAGACTTTCGGTCCTCTCCATCGGCACCACTTGCCAATGGAGGAAGTTCACAGGACCTTGAGCGATCTCACTATTCTAAATAGGTTAGACTGCTGTGTATTGGTGTGCCGCCCCTACTAGTACAAGTGCGGGCGAAAGACGTGAAGCAGGTGTGCGATCGTCGATCCATGTGTACAGGTCGGTTGCTCCACAAGCTAAAGCCTGCCAATCCCGACAACGTTGGTGACGAAAATATCTCGTCTAGAGCGTACCTATGCCAGCACGTGTGGTCCATATTTCGCGCCCTCTTGGTTGTGGAACAATAACAATCGATCTCTAAGAATCGATCGATCGCACGCCTGCTGCGCCAAGCCCACCCCCTCACGGTAATCATCACCGGGGCTGGATTGAAGCATCGGTTATGTACGATCTACTATCAGGTATCATCCAAGATGGTCTTGGGGCCTCCTTCAGTTGATTGACTTCACATCTTCGGGCGGTGCGCGCCACTACCATCGCTGCCAAGAGGAATACGTTGGTTTTTCGCGCAGGGATTGGCAGAACACACGCCAACATGAAACAAGTGCCATCCTTTCCGCTTCGTCACGAACAACGCCGCGCAGGGTCTAGCCGTTCCTCGTCATCGACACTCCCTCCACCGCCGCCGCCGGCAAGCATGGCTGGTGATGCTGGAGGGACACCACGGGTTACCGCAGGAAGGAGGGGGACAATTTTGGTCCACCACCCTCTGTGTGAGCTCCACGATATCCCTGGTGAGCGAGGTGCCGAGCGCGTTTGTTGTGATTTTGGTCGGGCAAGTGTGTGTTCCAGAGAGAGGCTACACTACGCTGTCACCAGGTTATCCACTCTCACCTGCGCAGATCGTTGGCTATTCTCTGCGAGTTCGGTTGTAGACAGGCCAAGCGTTCCGAACAGCGTTACTCCAAGTTTGCATGCTGTTCCAACTCCTCCGATACTCCATTATCCGGTCAGGCATGCGTGGTCAGGCGTGGTGATCACTCACAGTTGCGACAACGATCAGTAGCGCTCAGATCAGGTTCGTTCACCAAAGTTCTCGTGATCACGTCCGGGCACTTCGGTCACCGAGGCTGGGTGCAAGCCATCAGTCGGGGGAACCGTTTCATCATCGCGGGGAATGGAACCAAAAGCAACTATTCCGTTGGTTCCATTGTTAACCCGACAGACGGTTACATCTGTCGGAAAGCCCCTTCCGGGCACTTATGGGTAATGTCCCAGTGCCATCATACAGGCTCTTGCAGGACAGCTCATAGGCTTGGACGTCCTTCTGGAGGGTCGGCCAGTGGTATTCCCGCTCAATTAAGAGAGTGATGTGTGCCGCTCCAGGGTGGCCGTACAACTTTACCATGGACCAGCGCCAACACAGCTGGCACCAGCTCTTTTGGGAACTGCAATTGCGTACGCGCAGCCACGCGGAGCGCGCCACAGCAGGTTGTCGTCGGCCAGGACGTAGTCGTCGTCCTCTCCTCGTCCCGCTACCAAGCTGGCTTGGAGGCGTCGAGGTGTTTGGTCTCGTTGCTGCGCCTCCACAAGTCGCGCATTGTCGCGTAAGCTGTCCTCCGTCTGCGCCAGCTTGGTGGAGAGACCTCGTCGCAGCTCGGGTGTGTCCAACGGGGTGTTGTCGCCCAGGAGGGTTTCTTGCGGCGTCGTTGGTGCCGAGTTTGGTGGCAACCACGGTGACGCGGCACGGCCGCTAATGCGGGGCCGACGTCCGCGTCCGGTATCGGCTGCAGCGCCGGTGGCGGTGACGGGCCTGAGGTGTTTGCGGCTGCAGCATTGGGGTGCTGGTCCAAGGGTTCCTCTACACCTGATTACACGGCATGCGGAGCCGATGGTGGCCGGCGCGTAGGCTCATTCTCACGGGGGCGGCCGCGGCCGCGGCGTTGGCCAGTGCTCGCCGTCGCCCGGGGTGCCGGTGCGGCGGCGGGTGTCGGCGGCGGCCGCGCGGCTCGCCGGGACACACCTCTCGTGACCCGAGGGATCACGACGAAGCGTGACTTGTCGACGATCGCAGCGTCAACGGTGGCGATGTCCTCGCTGGGGCATGTCCACAGGATAGCCAGCGCGATCGCCAACTCGTCGTCCGTGCTGCCCCGCTGGTCGGCGTTCCCGTTAAGGATGCCGAGGATGTCCAGTGCACTGAAGGCTTCCCGTGGCATGCGGGGCAGGGTGAACTCCTCAGGTGCCCATGCGGCATCGACCGGTCGCGCGATCGCACCGATTGTGCGACCGGTCGATGCCGCATGGGCACCTGAGGAGTTCACCCTGCCCCGCATGCCACGGGAAGCCTTCAGTGCACTGGACATCCTCGGCATCCTTAACGGGAACGCCGACCAGCGGGGCAGCACGGACGACGAGTTGGCGATCGCGCTGGCTATCCTGTGGACATGCCCCAGCGAGGACATCGCCACCGTTGACGCTGCGATCGTCGGCAAGTCATGCAACCCTCCCACGGTTGTGCCCGGAGTTCGATTCTCCGTACGTGTACCATGTTCCAGAGAGAGGCTAAACTACGCTGCCGCCAGGATGTCCACTCCCACCTGCGCAGATCACTAGTTATTCTCTGTGAGTGTATACTGGCCAAGCGTTCCGTGATTAACGCAAGCGAGCAAGCATTACTCCAATTATGCATGCAGGTCCAACACCCCCGATACTCCATTATCCGGTCAGGCATGCATGGTCAGGCGTGGTTATCACCCACAGTTGGGGTAACAATCAATAGCGCTCAGATCAGGTTCGTTCACCAAAGCTTTCGTGATCACTTCCGGACACTTCGGCCACTGAGGCTGGGTGCAAGCCATCAGTCGGGGGAACCGTTTCATCATTTGCGCAGGAAATGGAACCGTAGCAATTGTTCCGTTGGTTCCATTGTTGACCCGACAGACGATTACATCTGTCGGAAAGCCCCCTCCGGGCACCTACGGGTAATGCCCCAGTTCCCATCATCGGGAAGGGTTCTCCGGACACTTGGTTCCTTGCATCACAAGTGCCCGTCATCACACTATTTAGAACCGGTGCACGCGGCCGTCCCGAACATGTGTTGTTTGTTTGTTTGTTTTTCTCCCGTCATTGGATTCTGTCGTCTGCCCCTCTGGCCCCTATCTTCCACTTCTACCAGCTAGACGACCCAACCGGGGTCACAAAGGAGGGGGGGGTTGGACCCCCTCCTGCGGTTGTGTGTGTGTCTTTATTTTTGCATCGACCGCGCTAACCGCCTGACCAATGAAAGGACGTCAGTCTCAGTGCGGTTGAAAACACAAGACACTTTTAAATGCCATCAACTGGGACCCCGTGAGGGGGCGGCATGTGTGTGTGTGTGTGTGTTTTATTACTAGCATCGACCGCGCTAACCGGCTGACCAATGAAAAGACGTCAGTCTTAGTGCGGTTGAAAACGCAAAACACTTCTATCTACCATGAACTGGGACCCCGTGAGGGGGCAGCATGGGGGAGGCTAAGCTATCCTTCGGATCAAAAACAGAAACAGCAGNCTAGCCCTACGTTTCTTGTTGTGGGGAAGGTCATCTGGCTCAAACCCTTTGCTCTCTTCCACTCCTCCATGTTTTTCTGCTCCATCGTCGTCTGCATCCTCCTTTCTCCCATTTCCCTTTCCTTCGTCTTCGTCACTCCCAAAAGAATTACCCTCACTACTATCGTTGTCGCAGAGATCCCAACCGATTGGCCCTGGTGGAAGTTGGTCGATCAGTAGCCCATGACGTTTGAACACATCGCGAGTTCGCATCGACAGAAAACGAGCTAGCTCGAAGGTAAACCGTCTCCGAATCCTGTTAGTATGAAAAGCTTTCAGGCGAACTAAGGCTCT